TTTTTAAATTCATCCTGACAATTAATATTGTTTGATAAACGTATTTGTTCATTCGAAAATAATCCAAATTTTATAAACTTAATTAATTCTTTAATTTTTCCCCAAATGTAAATGATTTTATCAAATTGAAATAAGGTATGAAAAAATAATTTAATTAAATCAAATGTTGTATCATGTTCACGTGGTAAATGGCAAACTTCCACAAAAATTACGTACGAATATGAAGTTGGTAATATCAATTGGAGTTGGATAAGTGCTGGTTCATTTGGTTGATGAGGAATAGTAATAGATTCTGTATCTAAAATAATCTTTTTTGAACATTGTACCGATTCAATTAAATGAAGCAATGTTAATTCATGAGTTGCATAATTAATAAAAAATTGTGTATATGGTAAAGGTTGAAATGGTGGATATTTGGAAGCAAGCTCATGTTCATGTAATTTTTTTTGAAGGAGTTTTTTAAGATTATTTTTTTGTTTAGTTGGTAAATCACGTGGAATGTTTTCGAGTTGTTGTTTTGTTTTTCGATATTCGTTTTCTGATAACATTTCTACAAGAAAAAATAGATGACCATAGATATCGATTCTTCAAATAGAGAATCTATAATTAGTAAAAGATTTGATTTATTTGGACAAAGAATCTTTGAAGTTTATATAAACCATAAAAAGTCAGAATGAAAGTGTAAAACTATTCATCATTCATTTGTTCATATGTCAATAGTTAATATTACGAAATAATTATTTCTTTTCGATTCTCATGGATCCAGTGAGAATCTAGTAAGAATAAATGAATATTGAAAAAATACCCAATTTTATATTTCGTATAATAGAATAATAAAATATAAAATAAAATGCACCAGATTAAATATAATAGCCCTTCACAACCAGTGAGTGAGGGAAACTCACGCTCCCCGATCATGCTATACTAAATTAAATCTAATTAGATTAATCTATCAATAAATAATTATTCCATTTAATTTGACATATTGATATTACGGTTCTCTTTGTTAGAGATCCTGTAATTAATACATTCGTTCAAATATTGGTAGTAACACGTCGGTTGTAACTTGACGATATAATGTTGGTTTTTTGACGTGTTGAACAATGAATGTTTTGGGTGTAATGATTTGAATGATTCTAAATGGTCCTTCATAACGAATATCAAATTTGTGACGTATGTTGAGTGTTTTCACGAGGACAAGATCACCAATTTGATAAGATGGATCAGAACGATTTATATCATAACGTTGTTTGTATCGTTCTTGATTTTTAATAATATTAAATTTCGCTTGTTCATTTAATTTTGATAAAAATTGTTGAAGTTTTTTCACGTGTTCATCATCATATTGAATTGTAACATTATCTCCTTGATAATCAAATGGTAATATTGGTGCTCGACCGTACATCATTTCGAATGGGATTTGTTTGGTCGAGGAATGGATCGACGTATTGTAATTGAATGTTACAAATGGTAATTGGTCATCCCAATCTGTTTTCTGTATGTTGGATAAAGCTGCAATTTTTGCATCCATTGTTGAATTGTATCTTTCAACTTGACCATTCGATTGAGGATGATATGGTGTTGAATATAAATGCGTTGATCCAATTTGTTTTATTAATTCATTCATAATTGTTGATGTAAAATGAGTGCCATTGTCGGTTAAGATACATCGAGGTGTACCAAATTTTGAAATAACATCTTCTTTAAGAAATTTAACAGCTGTTTGCGCAGTATTATCACGTACTGCTTTTGTTACCACGAATTTTGATAAAATATCCGTAAGACATATAATATATTTGTTGCCACGACGAGATGTTGGATTAATAGGACCATGAAAATCCATAGCTACTAGTTGCCATACACCTTCTGGAGGTTTAATTGGTCGTAATTTGCCAGGAGGTTTTTTTCGACTAGGATTATGTTGAGCACATAAAATACATGATTTCACGTAATTATCAATGTCTTTGTACATTGAAGGCCAAAAATAACGTTGTTTAATTTTATATATTGTTTTATCTCTTCCGAAATGAGCACCATTGGCTGCAGTATCATGGTAAATTTGTAAAATTGTTTTTCGAAGATCACCTTGTGGTACATAGGGAACTGACGGTTTTGATCGACGCATTAAGAGATTATCCTTGATCATATAAGTTTTATATTTCTTGATATTGTTCAGAATATTTTTTGCATAATTATCATTTTGTTGAGCTTGAATTAATTCTTCAATGGAAAATGAAATTATTCGATTCTCTTTCATTGAATTATTCAATGTTTGATTAGAGGATGAAGAGGTTAGAGAATCTGGTGCTAATTTTGTGCCATCATTCGGATCATTTAAAGTTTGATTTCGTAATTTCATCGCACGAGTTTGAACAGCTGCGACGATAGATGAATGATTTTTAATATCTGAAAAATCGGTTTGTGTAGATTTCGAAATAAGAAGTGAAACTTCATCAGGATCTTCTTCGGCATCATCAACTGGAGACCTTGATAAATAATCAGGCATTGAATTTGTTAAACCAGGAATGTATTTCACCTTGAAGTCATATTCTAAAATTTTTAATCTCCATCTTTCACACCGTTTGTTAATTTGTGCTTTTTGATTTAATTGTGTTAGTGCTTTATGATCAGTTTCCCAAATAAATTTGATTCCGCTTAAATAATTATGCCATTTATCTAATGCACATATAAATGCATAGCATTCTTGTTCCATTGGAGACCATTTGCGTTGTGCTGGAGTAAATTTCTTTGAAAGATATGCAATTGGTCTATCACCATCCGGATAAAGTTGTAATAGTACTGCGCCGATTCCCTCATCAGATGCATCAGTTTGAACTTTGAAAGGGAATCTATTATTTGGAAGTCGTAATACCAGATCAGTTGTAAGAAAATTTTTAAGTAGTTCGAAGGCTTCGATTTCTTCATGTGTTAATGTGATGATAGTTTTTTGTCCTTTCTTTCGTTGAGTTCGAGTAGTTGGTACGAATTTTCTAAGTGGTTCGGCGATTAGAGAAAAATTTGGTATGAATTTTCTATAATATTCAGCGGCTTTAACGAATTTACAAGCTTCATCTGCCGTCTGTGGTAATCTTGTATTTAATAAGCCATGTATATTGGTAGGACTTGGACGAATTTCACCATTTCGTATACGATGTCCAAGATAATCAGTTTGTGTTCGAGCAATTTCACATTTTTCTGGATTGAGACGAAAACGAGCTTCTTTTAATATTTGACAAATTTCATTCAGATGAGATAAGTGTTCTTGAAATGTTTTGGAGTAAATGATGACATCATCAATATATGCTAATGCGTATTTCCATCTTGTGGGACCTAATATATGATTGATAACACGTTGAAACGTTGCGGGACCGTTTGTTATTCCTTGTGGAAGTACAGTAAATTGATAATGATTGTCACGAGTTGAGAATGCAGTTTTTGGACGGTCCTCTTTAGATAGAGGTACCTGGAAATAACCAGATTTAAAATCGAATTTTGTATAATACGTTGCGTCGGATAATTGATCAAAAATTTCATCGATTCGAGGAAGTGGAAATGCATCTTTAATTGTAATAGCATTTAACCGTCGATAATCAATGCAAAATCGCATTGTTTTGTCTTTTTTCTTGACAAGAACAATCGGTGATGACCATGGTGAAGTTGATTCTTCAATTTGACCACGTTCTAATAATTTTTGTGTTTCTTGAAATTTAATTTCTTGATCTTTAGATGATGCTGGATATTGTTTTGAATAGATAGGTGGATGATCAGCAGTTTTAATTGCTGATTGTGGAGGAATATTAATAATCGATGGTGTAGGATCAAATAATATTTTATTTCGCCATAAAATATCTTGAATTTCTAATCGATGTTTTGGATTTTCGATATGTTTAGTCGATTCGAATATTTGTTTTCGAATCTGTTCGGAATAACATTCTGCTCGTAAGTGTTTTTGTAAATCATTACCAGATAAAAAATGTTCATTGCAATGATGACAAATAATATTTAATTTTTCGTGATTCGAGTTGTCCTTTTTACGTAAGACAGCTCTGGATTTCAATCTATTGTAATGTCGAGTTGATGTTTGATGACGTTCATTTAAAATAGAATTATGTTTTGTTGGAACTTGTGATGTTGCATATATTGAGAACGTTGCATCACGAGAAAGGGTACCGATTCGTGTGTTTTTTGATAATGTTTGTTGTCGATTGTGTGCATTTATAAGTAACACTTTGGCGTGATTTTTATTAATATTTAATAATGTATGTGGTATGAAGATGAATTTTGATATATGACGTTCGTATGGTTCCAATATAAGATTATTAGTATTTGCAATTTGACATGTAATATCAACCAATTTTTGTGAATATGGAGGAAGAGTAATTTCATGCACTAATAATGCTGGATAATTAATGCAAGTTGGTTCCACATACGGGATTGAAATTAATTGATCATGTTGATCAGGAATAGTTAATTGTTTCTGGTCACCATAAAGGTGAACATGATTCGAATTTATCCAATCATTACGTAAAAGAATTGATGTAATTAAATTTGTAGCAACGCGAGCAGTAACGTAAGTTTTAATAGATTTAATTTGTATTTCTAATTTAATTTGACCGATAATATTAAGAGGTGTTGAATTTGCAGTTTGGCATAAATGAGTTTGATATAAAAAATTTTGGTGATGAATGGTTTTGAGGAAATTTGAATGAATAATTGAGATGGCGGATCCTGTATCAACAATTGCTTCCGTTGGTTGATCATTAACACGAATTTTGATGTAAACAGGGAATGATGTTATTGTCGATGGCTTTATAAATTTACTGGGAACACCGCCATCATGTGACCCAGTTATTGAAAATTTGGAGGTAATGTACAATCACGGACATTGTGATCTTGACCACAATTAAAACATCCGATTGTACGTTTATAATAACAATCGATTGTTCGATGATTGTTGCGACCGCAAACTTTACAGTCGTTGAATTGATGTTGTGATAGTGATTGACTATTGCTTAGTTTCTTCTGTGATATCGATTGTGGTGGATAATTTCGAATTTGTTTTCTATCAGGTGCCATGAATGTTCGATTTCCAAGTGTTGGAATCGAGTTCCGCTGAGAAACGGAGCTCTGTAATTGTGTTGAATGTGAAACAGGATTGTTGTACTTCATTGTATGATAATATTGTTTTGGTGGATTAACTGCAGCAGTTAATGGTGGAATTGATGGGTGATTATAATTAAAATGACGTTGTTGTGAATCAAGTGATAGACTACCGAATGTATCATGTAAATCTTGTTCAATTTTTGCATATTTTAAAAATTCATTTAATGTATTGATAGATGATTCACGTCTTGATAATTCCTTCCTAAAATCAGGATTGATTCCACTCATTAAATATTGAATTATAATTTTTTCTGACATAGTTGAATCAATTTCCCGGCATAAATTAATAATGTCATCGAAATAAGACGTAATCGGTTCATCCGGTAATTGTTTACGTTGTTTTAATGTATCAAATTTCTTATGAGTTGATGTTGAAGAAAAATATCGATTTCGAAATGCAATTTCGAAATCTGACCATTTTTTAAAATTAGCTTCATTATTGTCGAACCATATTCCTGCAGATTGAATTAATTTACCACGAACAATTTCTAAAATTTCATGATTATTTGATTCATCAGTTGCCTTGGTTATATTCTTGATGCTTTTTAAAAACCGTTCGACATCCTCAGAAGGATGTCCAGAAAAATTTGGTAAATCATCAAATCGTGCTTTACGAGCTTTTGCTAATAATGTTTGATCAGCCATTTTATGTGTATCTATGTTTTGTGTTTCCATTTCAATTGAATCAGTATATGAAAATGTACGAGATTTTGAATTTGTAATGATGGTATATGGAAATAATTTGCTATTATTTTTCTTGACTTGAAGCCTTGTTCCGGAAGCCGTTATAAAATTATTTTGCGTATTTGAAAAAAAAAAATTTTTTTTTTTGTTTTTTTTTTTTTTTTTTTTTTTT